GCCATATTTGGTCCACTTAAAAAGGCTGAGGGGAGTGGACCCATGGGCCGGCCTCTAAAATAAATCAAGTGGGTTAAGCCCATAACACTCGAGCTTTCACTCGATCTTTAAACATGTGAATGAGTGAATGTCAAGGTCCAGATAATCCACAGGGCATTGAGAAAGCCGGGCCACTTTCCACCTAACATTAAACGACGACGTACCCATGTAACAGAGCAACAGTCACTCCAATTCCGTTCTCACTTCCTCCACCCAAAAAACTTGTCCATGGCCGCTCCTCTGCTCCTCAGAGGCTTCCCTCTCCTGCGCCTTCGCCTCCACCACCAAGCTCGTCTCGCCGCTGGACTCCTTTCAGTACCTCGTCGTCCTTGCTGTGCAAATTCCGAGTCGATTGGTTCCGAAGAGGACGCATCAGTTGCGGACAAAACTACCACAGAGCTGAGCTTCGGAGAACCACCGAAGGATCATAGATGGAATAGTCCTGATTACAAGAAATGGAAGGATGAGGAGGAGCAGATTCTTCGAGATATCGAACCTATAATAATGCTCACTAGAGAGATACTTCACTCTGATCGGTGAGTCTCCAAGCTGAATGTCCTTTTCGTTTTTTTATTTTTAAAATTTTTTCTTTGATCATGTCTTATGGTTAACATTGATTGTAATTCCATATTTTAGTTGATGAATTTGTTGACTATGATTCAGAATATGCTTGGACTTAATTAAAGATAATTAATCACATTAATTAATAGAGTTTGTGAATAAAGTCATGCTGTTTTGAGATGATTCTTAATCTAACTGTGAGAAAACATTGAAGCAAGAGATGATTTCTTCAAAACATCCTAAACATTGCGAGAATTTTATGTTTAAGCATGTTGTAGATATTGGTATAAAAGGGAACACAATGTGCTAACCTCATCCTACTGAGTTCTTTTCTCTATTTTTTATTCTTCTGTTAGGTATGGCGACGGAGAATCTTTGACGGCAGAAGACGAGAGAGCTGTGGTGGAGAAGCTTCTTTCTTATCACCCACATTCTGAAGATAAAATTGGTTGCGGACTTGATTCTATCATGGTGTGTTTCAGAGGTTCAGTTTGCGTTATTTTTTCTATGAATGCAATATTAATAACTTGCTGCTTGTTATGGTCACATGATACTCCTTTTTATCATGCTTTATAATCCCGTTGGAGACTCCATGCTAATATAACAGCAATAAATTCAGGAGTCGAAATCATCTTCTTATACATGCACTAAATTCCAAACCCTTAACTTGTTATATCATTTACCTATTCGTACTAAATTAGGAATATGTAGGCTGTCTTGCCTGTTCCTTATTGCTCTGGCTCTTTCTGTAGGCAGATTGAGTCATTGAGCTTCAACACTCGCTGCTTTTGGTTCCCATCACCATTCATTTATATTGATCCATACTTCTCTTGGTTTGGTTGACAACTGAATGAATTATGAAAAGTTACTTCTACCTTGTCATTTTGGTTTGGGTTTACCTTATGTTTTGATTTTTTTTTATTTTTTTATTTTTATTTATTTTTTTTTTTTTTCTGATTGGCAAATGGCAAATGAGAATTTATTTTTTATAATTCAAGAATGCGAAGTATGAGGAATTCTCTACGAAACCAAAGAGTTACGGCCTACAGGCTACGGCAGTTTAATATGCAGGTTCGATAAAATTACTTTAAAATAGAAGACACAAAGTAATATATTCTAAACCTCTTAAGGATTCAAAATAATAAATATTACTTATTTCTATCTTGTCCTTTTGGTTTGGGTTTACTAATAGTTCCAAAACTTTGGTAGAGCATTTGTATGTCAAATAATAAAATGATTAGTAATGCACTTCTTATACAGCAGCAAAGCTGATATGTTCTTAATTTGGCAATTTAGCCATACACAATTTTTGCTAGTGCTCTGAGCACTGTAAAATATAGAACTAGGATATGCAACTTTAGAAACACACCTGCTTCTGCAGATATAATTAGATTGGCGTGGTTGACCCATAAGTGTTTCCTCTGTTTTAGTGACAAATATTTACTTGGAGCTCCTTGCATGGGGAGTTTCAAACAAATGCATCTTTATATATTTTCTGTTTGCATGTATTTAAGCATTAGGTGTCTGACTTGGCATTTAATGAGTGAAGACTGCCATACAAAGATGGCTCTTACTAGAGATCTGATGGATCTCAGAACTTCATATTGTTTTGGTCACCATGATAAGAAAAATGGCGAAGATTCAGTTTATGTTGTCCTCTTTATTTATAAACCTAACATTTTAGGGAAAATAGTAGAAAGATAGAAAATTTCTCTTTCAAATTTTCTATTAATTTATAGTTATGATACTCTAAATGTTAAATTATCCTTGTTAATTAGGTTTCTTAGAGAAGGCAGAGCTTGGATCAGCATGATTCTTGCCAGACAAATTTGATTGCTCTTTTATAACAATTAGAACTCAAACCAGTCATTAGCTTGAACCTGCTTTCTTAAAAGGGTGACTGTTTTTGGACATCTTTTTGGGCTGAGTGGATGTTGTTTAGTCTCCTTCAGTCATTCTTCCATAGCCCAAATGACATTCTTTATAGGCTTGTCATAAACAGTTTCTGGACGCTTTAAATTAGTGGTTCTGTTTGGTTCATTACATCTAGATTGTGCTTTCTTATATTTGATTTTTTTTCTTCACTTCTAAAAATATTTTAATGTGTATTCTTTTTTGTGTTTGGAGTTCACCTTCACCCTTAAATAGTAATGAATGAATGGCTGAAAAGGCAGATGTTTGACAGATTGTTCCCTTTGCCTATTTCTTATTTTCTTCTTTGCATTGCTCGGCCCACATGGTTGGCATGTCAAACAATGGAGTGAAGTTTTTAATTGATGTTAATCTAGCATCTGTTATTTTTGCGCATAATCTGCCTTTTCTTTCTTTTTCTTTTGTCTTTTCTTTTTCAGATCAGCTTTGGATTTGCCGTTCCATTAATAATGAACTGTGTGGTTTAAATGTTCAATGCTTGGCCCGTGGTTTAAGTTGTTATCATGGATGAATGTGGATGAGCTGACATTTTGTTGGCTTCTATTCCGTGGATCATCGTGTATTTTGCACCTTCTTTTTCACATACGTACATTTGCATTGTTTGCTACTTGCTAGAACAATCTAATTATGTACTTATCTCTTCTTATTGAAGGTCGATCATCATCCCCAATTTAGAAGCTCAAGGTGTCTCTTTGTTGTCAGAACGGATGGTGGCTGGATTGATTTCTCATACAAAAAGTGTCTTCAAGCATACATTCGAGATAAGTACCCATCCTACGGAGAAAGATTTATTCAAAAACATTTTAAACGTGGTAGTGGTTGATCCATGAAAACCTTGATGCCACCACGAGTACTTATCCATGATTTTTAAGTCTCTAGAGTGGTTTAAATATATTATTACTTGGGTAGGAATTTGGTTTCCCCATTCATGGCAGTAAACCCAATATCTATAGCCTGAATCTGCTATTGTCAATATTTTGGTTCATCCTTGACTGGCATTTCAAGTTTTGTTTGAAAATAAGGCCAAAGAAAATGATTGATATGAATCTGAACCTTGCTTTGTTGACTTACATCTACTTTTTGTTTGGCCTTGTGTATAAAGTTCGTTTTCAAGGAACAATCTTTTCCAGAGAACCTTAGGACCAGATTTTTTTATAAAGTTTGTAAGAATTTTCAGTCATTTATATCCAGGCCACTTTTCTTCAAAGCTGTTAAGCACGGGATGACTTATGTTCTTTCTTTCGCAATGCTCACATGCCCTTCAGGACAAAAACTCACTTGTTTAATGTTATCAAAAAAAAAAAAAAAAGAGGAAAAAAGAAAAAGAATATGTACTATGTGCATATGCCTACTGTTTTATCTCCTATTCAGAGGCCATAATAATGGTCAAACTGCATCATAACACACATTTGATAACATAGTTATAACACATTCGATAACAAAGCTATACATTTCCTTTAGGAGCTTAGAGTTATGATGGTGTATAGCGTGCACCCACTTTACCCATTTCTAGAGACAGAAGTTTAATGTATATTTTGGTATGATGTTTGACCATATGATCTTTGATTGGTCACATCAGACTGCAGCCACCTTGCACCACCACTATGGTGGCGAATAAATGATCAAGTGGGCGGTGGACCACTGAACCTGACTTCCCTTGACTGCCTTAACCATTTAGGTCTTTCCCGCATGAAATAACTGAAAATTTTAATCCTCTTAAATGATTATCATTGATTGATGATGGCTCACTATGGTAAATTCTTGATACGTTATTGTGTTTTTTTGCTAACACTATTCTTCAGTGGTTGAATCTGTGACTTTTTCAAGTTAGTGTTTCTGGTCAGCTTGTCCAGTTGTTCCAAAGTCAAAAATGGTAAGGAACTCAATTGGTTGGCCCTGAAACATTGTCTGCATAAATGAGTGTTGATTGATACATTTTATCTATAATTTGGACTTGGTAGGAAACTTAACACAGTGCTATTAGGCAGTAGTAGTTTTTTGTGGACTATAGTAGTAAGGTTCTAACCTTAGTTGAGGTTAATAGGAGAACATATGTGGTATTATCATTCTAACATTGGGAAACAGTTGCAGGGTATCTGGATTCCGGAGAGAATGTCAACTGCTTGCCACGTTGATATAGAGGTTAAAAAGCTTTAGCACACTTAATTATCAATAATGAAAAAGTTGTGCAAACTATGGTATGATGATTAGGGGACAAGCATGATGATTAGACTGGGAATAGGCGAAAGTGGACCCTTAGAAAGGGAGCCCACAACACAGCTGGATGAAAAGGAAATCCAGGGGGGGGCCCTGAGCTAGCCAGAGAGCAGGTAGCCAAGACAATAGACACTGTTATGTGGGGTTTTCGTGGTACAGATCGGGGGCAAAATAATATATTTGGCTCCCAAGAAAAAAGAATGATGATGGAGATCTTGCCCCACTAGAAGGATTGTGAATTGTGATCCTCGCCTGTTCCCTCAGCTGAACACTATAGACTATATAGTAAGGGGTTTTGCTTTCTGATCCTGAGGATTAGTGTGGTAAGGAAACAGCATAGACTGTAGTAACCTAGCAAATCATGAAAATATTGGATTAAATGGGTTTGATGTTTGAGGTACACTTATGCGGGATGGCGTGGAGACCAACACAACCACCACCATTACCTACCATCTCCTTTCTCATCCGCCATTGATTTCTGTCTCACCAGCTTGCACTTACACACTCCATTTTCTTTACGTCCTCTCAACAGCTCTAGCCCTCGGGTATCGAGCCCGTAAAGGAGAAACAGTAGGCTGTAGGCGCTGGTAAAAGAAAAAGAAAGGAAGAAAGCAACATATCAATATGGATAATGGATTTCCATTTCCATTGCATTTGCATTTACGTATACATACAGGGGTGTAAAGAATTTTTCTTAGAAAGCTTAAGACAAGCACAGTCACTCTCTTCTGTTCTTTCTTCCATTATTACAGATTAGTGCAGCTGCAGACTGCAGTCACTGCACAATGAAATCTCTTTTTCGTACAAGGGAAGAGAGGAATTGAGTTGTCCTGATAGAGCAGTAAATTTTTACATGGGGAAGTGCTGCTTTCAATATTATTTGTTCTTGTTAGTTGTTTTCATTGTGTTTGTTTAACACAGGATGAAACTGGTGAAATGAAAAGAGAAATAATGACATTGCATTCCTTTTCCTGTGCTTGGAATTAGATTAGACCCTAGGGGAGGGCACTACTTTTTTCTTGCTTTGTAGCTTACAACCTTCTACTGTTTTGCTGAAAAGGTGTGATGGTTATACTTCTACGGTTTATCAATGTATAAAGTGCTCTGAAATATTTGGCAACATGAATGTGACAAGTATAATAAAGAATAAGCTTCTCTTGATAGTGATGAAAATTAAATTCAAAGCATCATTCTCTGTTCACACTGTTTACACTAGTGCTCTTTATTGAAGCTTAAAATGGAGCCAAATTCACAATATTTAAAACATAAAATGAGTAAATATATATTGGTTTATTTGTTTTTAATAAAAATAATTAATAAAAAGCTATCATCATGTAGGATGGTTAATATGTGACAACTTCAAGATATCTCTATTCATTGCAACATAAGGGATTTTCACTGGAGTCACTAACCATATTCGAGGTCTCTAAATGAATACAATTTTTGTGTGATCAACCAATTTATGAAATTGTCTGATAAAACTTCTATTTTCCACAGAATGTCAACAATTTTCTTGTTCGTAATAACTTGTTTGTAGGCTTTCCGCAGCATAAGCAGTTAGACAAACCTTTTACATGCAAACCATTAATGAATTTTCTGAAATTCTCCCCAACCCCTTTTTTTTTGAATTAATAAAACTGCAATTATGCTTTTAATTATTTGGGCTTTTTTACTTTTCTGTCGATCCAACCCTGCATCAGAGGTTATTTTCATTCAAGCATTGGGGTATGTGCATCCCACCCATCTCTCTCTCCCGCCCACGCCAATTCAACCCTTCCCTTGTCAAAAATCAGCTGTGTGGCCCACTCCAACCTCTACGCAATTTCCTCAATCAGACGGTCCAGATTGTACGATGTAGGGGATGATTGATTGCAAATGAAATCCAGATCATGGATGGGTCCCCTGAAATGTAAGATACAGAATGTCACGTGTCGAGTAAATGTAGTGCATGGCCCATGATTGATCTGGTCTGGGACGATGATAGACACGAGACGTTCCCGAAATACAAAAAAATACACTGCTACGAACCCACAAATAAAACACGTCCTTGGGGGTACTGCTCACTCCCCTTCCTCTCCTTCTTCCCTTCCCTTGTTACTCTTCCAAGATGCCTCGAGCAGAGTCCTTGAGCTTCTCCTTCCTCGTCTCTTTTGCTCTGTAATGAAATGAACCAAGATCTGGTCTTCTTCTTCCAGGGAAGAAGATGACTCTGAATCATCATCACCTGGGATCTACTGCACAACACAATTCCGCATTGCTTCTTGATGCTCTTTACTGTTCAGAAGAGAACTGGGAGGAGGGATTGAGGGAGGATTTCATTGAGGAAGAAGAGGGAAGGTATTGTGGTGGAGATGAAGGAAATGTCTTCCCAATCTTGCTAGAACAGGACATGTTCTGGGAAGATGAGGAGATTTCTTGTTTGTTGAAGAAGGAAGAGGAAAATAAACTGTACAAATGCCTTGGAAGTGACGCAAGTCTTGCGGGGGCTCGCCAGGAGGCGGTGGCCTGGATGATGAAGGTCATTGCCCATTACTCTTTCTCCGCTTTGACAGCAGTTCTTGCTGTGAATTATCTCGATAGGTTCCTGTTTAGCTTTCAATTCCAGAGGGAGATGCCATGGATGACCCAGCTGACGGCTGTGGCTTGTCTTTCTTTGGCTGCAAAAGTGGAGGAGAACCAGGTTCCTCTTTTGCTGGACCTGCAAGTATGTAATTACATCCAATCTTGTTATGTTATGTTTGATGAGTTGTTTACCTTTAATTTGGTAATCGATGTGGGATTTTCTTGATCTGTTTAGGTGGAGGAGAGTAGGTATATGTTTGAGGCCAAAACAATCCAGAGAATGGAGATTTTGGTGCTCTCAACTCTTAAGTGGAAGATGAATCCTGTAACCCCTCTTTCATTTCTTGATTACATTGCAAGGAGACTTGGGCTAAAGGATCGTCTTTGCTTGGAATTTCTCAGGGGATGCGACCGCATTCTGCTCTCTGTCATTTCAGGTCAGTAGCAAAATCCTGCTTTCCATTCGTTAAGTACTGATTAGGGCCTTTGCTGGATATTGATTTCATTGTTCCCCCTGCTTCTGAATCTGATGAATTCAATTGCAGACTTGAGGTCTATGCGTTACATTCCTTCTGTTATGGCAACTGCTACAATGCTCCATGTTCTGGATTGTGTAGAACCCAATCTTAGATTGGAATACCAAAACCAAGTCTTGGGCATTCACAGAATCGATAAGGTTATTGATCTTGATTATTGTCATTTACTAAATCCAGAAAATTTCCATTACAATCCCCAAATCCTGATTCTTTCTTTTAACAGGACAAGGTGGATGATTGCTTTAAGCTGATAACCGAGTCGGCAATCTACTATTCCACTCAATCCAACAAACGCAAGTTTGGTTCTATTCCCAGCAGCCCAAATGGGGTGATGGAAGTGTCATTCAGCTCTGATAGCTCGAACGACTCGTGGTCAGTAACATCATCTGTTTCTTCCTCGCCGGAGCCCATGTCCAAGAAGATAAGAACTGAACAAGACCAGCTTCTGCAGAGGCTGAGCAATGCACCACCAGATCCTCTCAACATTCCTCGCTAGTTCCTAAACATCAATTCCTTCTTTTTCCTTTCTTATGACGAGTATATTTTCTCTGTAATAATACTACTATATGTTCTTCTCAAGTTCAAAGTTAAATTGCTAACCATCTCTGCCTTTTACAATTGGGATTTGGGTAACTCTCAATTGTGTAATTGGCGTGGGGATTTAGAAGCAGAGATGGTTGGCATTTTATCCGGAAGAAATCAAAGACATAGACATAGCTATAGCTATGAAGAGCCAGATGGATTAATATTTATATGTAGGACCTTTAAGTTCCTTTTTATGAACATAATGGTAATCAATTCTGTTCTTACAGATTTAAAGCATTCCCTTTACATATTCATTTACGATTGCAATTTGATGTTAGTACTTGGGTACTCATTTGAAAATTTATGGGGAAATCGAAAGGAGGGAAAGATGAGAAGTTGGAAACCGACGGATTGGGAGTACAATAAGAGGAGTATTTGTTTGCATGTGGAGGGAGGAACATGTTGTCGGCCACGGGTTTGTTTTTTTCGTACTTTTGATTTTCGGGGTCTGACCTCGTCGAGAGAGAGAGAAATGCTTTTGTATGACTTTGCAGTTCGTATTTATCATCCAGCTGTAACAGAAAGGAAAATTTCATAAAAAACCATATAGGTATCATATAGAAGTATAGAACTAGTGGTTTGCAGTCTACAAAGGTTTATTTTTTGGGAGGCCGACAATGAAATAAATCTTTTTTTTTTAATAAATTTCTTACTTTTATTGTAAAATTGTAAGTAACTTATCTTTAACCAGAGTGGGTAGGCAAACTAGAACTTATTTCACACTTTGATACTTTGTGTACATTCTATTTCTCCACAATTTGAAGATGCAAATATGCATCTCATGAACAAATGTTGCATTGAATATATTACTAAGTAAATATAGTTTTAAGATTATTTAAGAAAAACTAGTCTCTAGATGCATTTAAATTAGACCCAAAATACTCTAGCAATCAAATCATTAAAAAAAAAAAAAGCTTTTAAATCGAAGATAGTAAGTGCAAACTTTAAAGAGAACATGCACTATGTGTATTGTCTAAATAAACTAAGATAATCTATGGGTATATAATGAATTTAATCGAGAATTTAATCCAATCATTAAAAGGAAAACAATGCTAGAAAATTTTTTGCCATTGTACTTTGAAAAGGAAAGCAGTGGGTTGTTTGGAGATACAGAAAAGACATGCACAAGAAGGCTTGCATGTGCTTTCTAGTGCTTTAATTAAAACTAAAGTTGGGAATCATCATATCACTTTGGCTTTATTTTCAAAAATGAAAATCACAGCTCTCTAGATTTCCTAATTACTATAATCTGCTAAACTAAACCCATGATTATTGAATTGAAATCAATAGGTAAGTTTTTTTAATGCACCGCGAATGTCGGAACTCTATACAATATGAAGTCGGTTCGTTTCACCTCATCTTGACCGTATCATGAACTCTTTCTTGTACTTAGTAATCTACTTAAGCACGTTCATACCTCATCGTTATTTTTACCGGTAATTCATTTTATAAAGGGAAAAGTATTTTAATTTTTTTTTTTCAAAACCAATTGGTTGATAATACTTTACTATTTTGTTAGATAAAAGTATTCATTATTGTTATCAAATATCAAGTAAATATGTATCATATATTAGATTATGATGATTTATTGTTCACAAACATTGTTAATGAATTTTTTTTTTTCACCACCATCACTAGGTTTCATGTTAAAATTTCCATTACTTTGTCCTTTGGTTTAACCTGCAAATATGCAGAACCATTAGGAACTAAACTTCAAATTAAGGCAAAACTCTATGGTACGTCAAAGAAGTTAAGGGACTTATTTGCCTTAGAAATATATAGTTTAAGGGTTTATATTGGAAAGTGAGATTAGTTCGAAAACTTAAAATATAGAGTTTTGCATTGAATCAATTATAGTAATTGATTTAATTTAGGAGTACGAACCATATAAAAGGATATAATTCCTATTTTTTTTTTTTTATGTAGAGGACAAAGTTAGTATAATGTTACACAATATATAATTATATATGCTTCTAGATAGGTAGGAGTATCCTTGCTTCATTAAATAAAATTGCTGTTAAAAAAATACTACATAATATAAATTAAACTACTTAAATACAGTATCAATGAACCACACAACCATTTAAAGGAGATAATTTTTTGTAAGAAGGATGCTAAGTACACTGGACAGGCACTCTGCACAAAATTGATGTGAAGTGTTATTTATTTTTTCTTAAATAAAAAATTAAGAAAAAAAATCACTCCACACCAATCATCTTTCTTACAAATCTTTTGATCTTGCTTGTGTAGCTTGCAGACAAAAAATGCATGCGATGTTAATGGCTTTGAGCTGTGCAAGCTTGACTAATTTGCTCTCACTATTACATCTTTGGAAAGCCTAACATTCGATGTATGTAAATTGTAACAATTTTTTTTTTTCAACAAAAACATAGGTCACTTCTTTTTAATTATTAACTAATTAAAATGGTAGCTTAAAAGAAGATATATCCATTAATTAAGCTGGACTAGTGACCTCATGATTTGTGATACCTGATGTCAAAAGGCAAAAGATGAGGGAGGAGTGAGGATTAAGAAAAGGAGGATCCAAAAGGTGGAAAAAGGAAGTACCCTAGAGGACTAAGCCGCATTAACCTCATAAAGGAGGCATAAGCGAAGATTAAAAGGTGGATTTGGGTGCAATTAGATCCACCCACACAAAAAAGGTTAAAGGGGGAGAATGTTGAAATTGGGGGACAGTATCTTTTGATTTTGTCCGATATGTCTTTGTTGTTCCTTTGTTCTGTGCTCTCTTTTGGCATTTTAGCACTCTACAAATACACATTGTCTTGAATTTCAACCCCAAAAAGAAAAGGCAAAAAAGAGGGACAAAATGACAAATAATAAGATATGAAATAGTGGAGGGAAGAAAAAAAAGAAAAAGAAAAACGAGTGATTGGCTTCATTTTACATCTTCCCTTCTTTTATAGACACTATCATCTTCTTCACATCTTTAAAATCTCCTCAAAGTTCACTCACCCTTTTGACCTAGAAGCCTTTAATGAATTCAAGCTTCAACGTTAAAGAAATTGGGCTTTATAGTTTATTTCCTGTGGAAGCAACTACACTTACATGTTAATTAGGTAGAAACACTATTCCCTTCAGTAATTAAGTTTTTTTTTTCTTTTAATTTGGTACAATAAAAAAAGGGGGGGGGGGGGTTGAA